TACCAAATTGAATGTAAGCCAATGTATACACTTTCATGTTTTGGTCACTTGGTAACTTGAGATAATACTTCCCACCCGCAAAGATTTTGCAGCCACCACAGGCATGCAGTCCAAAGAGATGAAGGCCACACTGGCTAGAATATCGGGGAATGCCACCCCCCCCCCCCATCTGGAAGGCAACAAACTGCAGGGGGACGGTCGTTGGTTCCCCCCAACAGAGAGCAATTGCGTGTTTTTTAAATAGCTGACAATACACAAAATCGCCTCTTTTTCTCCATTCTATTTTTTAATTTAAATTAAAAAACACATCCAGACACATCGATCGAAAAACAGCTCAAAGCCACTGTTAAACAACCTGCCAGCCAAATACAACAGTAACACAAGGTTTCTTGGTGGAGTTCCTTCATATGTTCTGCTATTTCCAGAAAACCCTTCTAGATAAGATGACACATGGGTTAGCTTGGGGACGGGGACCGTAAGGGCAACGTCCTTATTCCAAACACTGTGCCATTGTCCTCTTGCCCCAAAGCTTCGTGTGATCGCGGGCTGTCTTCCAGCCCCAGCCAACAATTAGGGAGGCCCAGGGTGCATGAGATGCTATCACACCACACGCATCACGCGGGGACAGGCTGAGTTCCTTGGCCAAAGGAAAGAGAAAGGGAGGGGGAGGGAGGGGAGACCCTGAACTTGCCATCTTAACAGCAGGTAGTGGTTTTTAAAAAGAGATTTTTCTCCTCTCCTGCCACAGACTTTAAGGGGCCTGCATTGGGACGCAAGGCAGACGGCTCATTCGAACACCACTGAGCTGAAGCAGGCAGCTGGGCGGCTGTAAGACGGTTGCTGTTTTTCAAAGCGAAGAGACACTCTTTGCCAAGCACCCTCCCTCTGCACGCTTGGGTGCTTTCAGGGCACTTCTTTCCTGCCCAGCTGAAGCATTTTTCTGCGGCGGGGGAATTCATCTAGCATTTGGGTCCTGTATTTACAGTTATTCTATACCAGCAATTAATTTAAAAGCCTCCTCCCGCTGTAGCTCAATGCCATATCTCAACAGTCCTACAAGCGGGAAGAAGTCCATCTGGAGAACTAGGACCTGCCCAAAGAGATGGACTTCAAAGCTGAGCGGGGCTTTTTCAAAAAAAAGCCCACCCCAAGCTCTGGAGTTGTCAATAAAGCAGATGACATTTTCATCTCCTTCTCGGAGTTACTGAAAGCCTCGCTGGCGTGACTGTAAATCTCTCTCTGGTGGTCTTCTTTCCAACCTGCCCAGCAAATGCCAGTTTGCAGGAAAAACCGGGAGATCTTCATTCCTCAAACAGCTGTTTCAAGGCCTCACTGTTTGACCTTGCTCATTTCACTGGCTCCTGATGGTTCCTCCTTTCTCTCTTCTGACTGACGGCTGACTCGTGTGGCAAATCTGGAGAAAACACGGAACGGTTCCAGAAGGAAAATCAAGGTGAAAATGCCCTTTGCCATCACCGCTTCCCACCACAACCTTGAGTAACAGAGGCCCAAGGCTTCAGATCCGAAATGCAAAGGGACATTTGAGCAGGAAAGAGTATCTAGACACTGCAGAGATCTGACCGGGGGAAATCGGTTCCTCTGTGTTCTGAAAAACAGCGAATACCAATGGCAGGTCGTATGCTTTCCCAAGTAAATGAGACCTTTCTTCACGTGGCCTGGAAGCCCCATGAGAATAGGAGCCACAGCTGGCCGGCAACACCAAGCCCAAGTTGCAAAACAAAAGAAGAATCGTTTGGCACACTCAGCAATTACAGCAAGGATGGGAATGGGAGAGAAGGAAGGAAGAGGAAGAAAATGCAACTTCTTGCTTGTGGCTCCCACCCAGTTCAGTGGATGAAACAGCCTCCCCGCTGCACACACAGAAGTCATAACATGATGAAATGAATGTTGGCCCTCGTCACACTCCATTGCGTTGCCAATCCTGCTATTACATCAGGCATGGAGAGAAACCTTCACTGTTGCTGTTTTGCTTCCAACTTGAGAGGTTGGGTGGCATCTGGACAGTAATCGATCACGTGGGAAGGGGTTTCTCCCCCCCTCCTTTTCAGAGCAGATAGTTTTATCCTCCTTCTTCCCCACATAAGCTCCCCACCAGAGTCCGACAAGGGAGGTGAGAGATGAAGCAGAGGGGGCTCCTGTGCTAGAGAACCCCCAGAAAGGGATTGATCCACGATCACTTTTTCTTGATTTCAGAATAAATGGTACCACTGTCCAAAGGCCGGGAGAGTCCTGAGGTTGGTTGAGAAGCGTTATTGGTGCTGAAAGCTAATGTTGAATATTGTATGTCTTCTTCACCCTGTAAAACAGGAGGAAGGAGGGAAGGGGAAGACACAGGGAGATTAGAAAACAAGGACAAAGCTCAGGGTGGGAAATCGGTGTGGAACTGGCCCTTCCTTGAACGTTCAGCTCTCCCTGAAGAAAGAAACAAGAAACAGGAATAGCAGCGACGACACAACAACATGCGTCTTTGGGGACAGATACCAAAAAAGGCATGCAAACGGTAGTCCAGCATTTCTCAGTCACAGCAAACCTGTTTGTCCCTTCCAGTGATTCGGCCTCAAGCCTAAAAGTGGTGGAATATTCAGGAAGCGCTATTAGCTCATTTTTAAATATGCATTTTTTTTAAAGGTTTCAAGATACTATTTAAATAGTCATGCCTTTCTGTTTTAATTCCCTTTGTATCTTGCCCCAATTTTGTCTAGCGGTATTACGGTTTCTCTCCTGGGGCTCTGCTGGTCTGACTCTCGGGCATGATCACCCCCAACATTTGTGCCTGAAGGGCCAGTTAAAGGCACGGGAGCTGGGCCATGAAAACAAGGTGGCAACTCTTGCTGCATTTGAAGAGGCCCAGAAAAATGGAATATGAAACTTCTGCATAGTCTCTTAACAGGCTTTGGAAATTCTTTAATTATTGAGAAGGATTTTCTTAAAAGTCTTCTTGTATTGCAGTGGTAAACAACTGACTGTACTGTAGAAATGTTTAACTTACCCAAACTTACCCAGGAGTAAAAAAGCTGTGGCTGGGACACTCTGATGGTCTGTACTGGCACTATACTTTACTCACCTCGAGGATAACTACCCAGACTCCTGAGTCTTTAGAATCCATTAGGGTTATGATGACCCAGGGAATAATAATAAAAATAATAATAATAAAATAATAATAATAATTTGGAACAGCTTACATCCTGCGACGATCCCTTTAACAGCATCAAAGCAACATCTGCCTATCCCAGGTCCTTGGGAAGGACTCGATTGGTGGATAAAAATGCCAAATCCAGTCTAAACATTTGGCTGACTGTGCGACCAACAACCTAATGTGATACACCTTAGTAGCAACTCGGACTACAGAATACAGCAAGTTGTTACTCGGGGGACTTTTTGAGTTTTTAAGCAGCCTGAAGCTATGTATGACTGCTTGCCAAGGTCTGCAGGACAAACTGCTATGAAAGAAAAGCGGGATTAATGAAATAGTTGGCCATCCTTAAACAGGCCCTTCGTCTTTCCCACGATTGAAAATGGATTCTAGAGTTAGATCCCAACATTTCCAGCCTTCTGTCTTCTAGCCTGACCTTGTTTCCCCCTTTTGGAATCTGGTTGCGTGAGAATTGATAAGTGTTCCATTCTTACCGGTTTGGACTTGGTGTCGGTGGCCTGGTCTGAAATGACAGAGACAGACAGGACAGAGAGAAAGAATCAGGGAACTGGAGCAAACAAGACTGTATCCAAGCCCCCAAGAGCCACAGACACGGCATGGAAAACCCCACATGTAGCTTACAAACAAATGGCTGAGACCACGTATGCTGGGAGGGAGGTCCCGCTTGGTTAACAGAAGTGGCAGGGCGTGGAGAAAACACCAAGGTTCTTCTCTCAATGCCACGATTCCCAAGGTTCCCTCTGCCTTGAAATATAACAATATTTTGGGTGTAGATTTCTATCCCCAACTAAAGCCCAGGGAAGGAAGAGTCAACACGGTTTCCTCCTGTGGAGTTCTTGGTGCCCTCTGAGCTTCACTGTGGGTGTGAAGAGCTGGGTAATGAAACATCTGCAAGCAAACCACCAAGCTCAGAGAGCACCAAGAACTTCACAGTTCAACCCTGAGCTACAGAGTTTCTCTTCTACTGAAAGTTCCCTCCGTATGAAACTCGTGAAGAACTTAAGCGAAGTCTAGGTCCAGGTCTCCTGCGGTATCATGGAAAAGAGGACCACTGACAGTTTGAGAAAGGGGACTGGGGATTTCTAGGGCAGGTCCCTTTTCACATCTCTTCCTCTTTCTCCCATGCTTCAATCCACCTCCCTTCCCTTCTTACCTGAGTTCGGCTCTGGAGCATCCAGGCCAATGCAGGGGCAGAGAAAGGAAGCCAATGGCCTCTCCCCACATGCATTCTTAATGTTTAGACCAGTGTTTCTCAACCTTGACAACGTTAAGATGTATGGACTTCAACTCCCAGAATTCCCCAGCCAGCATGCTGACTGGGGAATTCTGGGAGTTGAAGTCCATACATCTTAACGTTGTCAAGGTTGAGAAACACTGGTTTAGACCCATGCGGTGGAAGGGCAACAGAGATGGAAGGGCCATTTCTCAAAGAGACCATGCTCCCAATCTCACCACCACTGGTGAGCTGTGGGATTTTCCCCCCTACCCCCCGTGCAAGCTGTCATGTAGTGCAGCAGCAGAAACCCCAGAAGACAATGCCGGCTTTCTGGGGAGTGGGGAAAGAGGGGGAACAACAAAAGGACAGGGGAGAGGAAGAGAGTTGAACTCCACCCAAAGCAGCAGCGTCCTGTTTTCCCAGGAATCGAGGTGCCAGTAGCAAGGTCAGAGAAGGCTTCTCCCAGGAGGCCCTTGGAAATGCAAGCTGGAAAAGTCCTCCCCCTACCTGAAGATCACGCAGGAGTTTCCCAGGATGCATCTGGGCTGTGGATGAAGAAACCTGCTCTCCTATGCTCTGGCTCTAAAGGGTGCAGGGAAACGTCCCCCACCTTTTCTCCAGCTCTAATGGAAGTGACTTTATAGAGACTCCCCTAAATCACAGGGCAGCGTGTGGGTGGGGGGGACCGCATCACAAATACAGGCAAGCATCGCACGGGCCCCGGCCCAGCCCAGAGGGCTGATACTTACTGTGGCCGGGCGCTGAGGGTATGTTTCCATTGGATGCGTGCTGTTCCGTCCTCCTAGATAAATAGCAGACACGGTGTGATCCCAAACGAAGCAGGGATCCGTTTCCCGACACAGCCAGCAAGTTATTCGTGGTCCTGCTCTACCAACCGTTCTTTGAACTCCAACACTCGGTTTTCCTTCCCTCCTGTTTATCGTGCCCGAGATGCCCCCCACCCCATCCTTTTCAAGTTTTCTACATTTCCTGCCGAGGACTCTCTGTGTGCCTGTAACACAGACTATTCTGCATGACCTAAAACCTTGGCCTCTGTGAGACAAGGGGTCAAAAAAGTCAAGAGGGCAGAAGTTGGATCACGACGCAAGCCCTGGTGCTTTGGCACGGGTGCGGGGCCCTGCCTCTGTCCTCTTGCCAGTTTGATGCTTCTCTGCAGATGCTGCTGCCAAGAGAATTCAGGCATACAGGTTAAGGCACACGCTCAAAATTCCCACCTGACCTGGCCGATGCGCTTATTGTGGGCTGTAACTAACAGAGGACAGGCCAGTTTTTCAGAGGAGTTTCTCCGATGTTGCTCTGAAACTCAAACCCCGACACGTACCCATCAGTCTGTTCAAAACTGGAACAGGAGGCGCATGAAAGAAGCGTATCCTTCCAACTTGGTTTTACTGATTGGACTATAAGAAGGGGTGAATCAAATATTCTTCCAAATTTTAGGGGAAGCAAAAAGAGAGGATCGTTCACGTGTTGAGCGCATGGAAGGTGGAATTATAGCCAGGTTAACAGATGGGAGCGATATCTAAGCTACAGATATGTTGGATGGCCACGTTGGCTGGAAATTCTAGTCCCACCTTGGTGCCCTCCAGATGTGCTGTGACTACAATTCCCAGCCCCCACAGCCAGCCCTAACATATCTGCATGGCAGATAATGGGTATGAGTAGGAAGTTTGGTCACTGTTTCTCTGCTAATACCCCAAATTGTCATTTTGGCACCGCCCATTATTTCAGTCCTAATTTGATCTCAAACACTTTTTTCTCCTTATGACCTTTTGGATTACAGATCGTGCCCAGTTTAAGAATGAGTTCTGTTCCCAAGGTGTGTCCTTAAGCTGTATGTAAGCCACAACAGTATTATTGTATAATGCTATATAAGTAGAATTTGGTAATGAACTCGGACCATTGTGTATTTAACTCAAATTTTGCTACGATAGGCTCTGTTCTTAACTATGGGTCATCTGTAAACTGGGCGTTCTTAATCCAGGGACTACCTGTGCAAAGATTATAAAAAGATGACTGATAAACTACCATGCAAACTGCCCTTCCCCCAATCCACTGTCTTAACATTTTATAATAGTTAAGCCATCAACTTTTTACTCCAGTCTTTCCCAGAGATGAACTGGGACTACAACTCCTGGCATCCCCAGCCAGCACAACTGTTGGCTCAGCAATGGGAAATATAGTTCCACCTATCTGGAAGGTACCAGAAAGTGGAAGGCTGGTGTCTCCAATTGATGTTAGTCTGCTCTTCCGCCCATATTGTTCCAACCTATTAGAGTTACTAGATAACTAGTAGTAATGGGCACAAGATCTACAGTGGTTTTGATACCAGTGAAGAAAGGGCAACAGTGGCTGTTCCGTTCCCTAGTAAAGCATCCTTGATCCCATTCTGAATTTAGTAAGCCTGGTTAGAGTTGATGTGCCTGCAATTTGGCCCCTTCGTGCTTCCAAAAGATGCGCAAGGCAAGACTAACCCAAGATTAAGAGACAGGAAAGAACATGGCCATTGGTGAGATAGTGCCAGCCAGCCCCTGAGAGTGCAAGTCCAAAGACAAGTGAAACTAGGTACACAGAGCAGGAAGCACCTGGAGAAGTCGAGAAGATGGCGTATCCAACTGGGAACCCTGAGTCAATGGGAGACTTACCAACAGGAAGCCTTGGTGAACAGAAAGTACACAACGCCTACACAAAGCACAGCTCCAGCCACAGAACCGATGACAATCCCAACAATGGCTCCAACAGAGAGACCAGGTGGTTCTGAACTCTCTCCTGTCAGGGGAAAAAGAGAAGACATGTGAGGGTTGGACACCACACAGCCATGGACTTCTTTATTTTGTTGAGTAGATGAATGGGGGGTAACTTTCAATGGAAATCCTACTCTTTGCCTGGTATCTTCTGAACCTGAAGCTAAAGTGGGAATTTAAATGGAGCTGTAGCTCTGATTCCTTGAATCTGAGGAACAGACATTTCTCTAGTAGGAGAAAGGGTAATATCAAAAGCTTTGGGTGCTGCCACAACCCCATACACCAAAAAAAACCCCAAAAAACAACAACCAAAAAAACACTTGTGGCCTCCACTTTCCACACATTATTTAGCTTCTGGACATTGGCACACAAGGAGAAGTCATGACACTGCAGGAGATAACATGAGAATGATATCTTTTGCCATACTCACACAAAAAAATTCCAATGAACATTTAGGGGAGGAGGAGGAGGAGGAGGAGGAGAAGGAGAAATTCCATGTCTACCTTATACAAAAGTTGGCTTTATTCTAAAAGTTGTTAATCATTCTAGATTAACAAATTCATACCTCCTACATTGGTAGTGCTAAAACATCACTATGAGGGTTTCCATGGTGCAAGTGAAAAAACACTTAATGTCTCTCTTAACATTATCCTCACAATAGCAGTCCTGTGAGGTAGGCTTGACTGAGAAAAGGACTGGCCCAACGTCACCCAGCAAGTGTTCAGGCTGAGGGTGGACTTGAACCTGCTAGTTAATTATCTTAACACTCCCCCCCCCCACTCTGGCTCCTAATGGCAGATTTGTAAAAGGGACAGTGAGAAAAACCAACTCATAGAGAACCCGAAACATGCCACGTAAGAGGCGTGATATGTAGAAGCTTGGTCGACATTACCCCCAAAGACACCTTTCTAACCCCTTCTCAACCAATGTTCTCCCAGATAAATACACCACACAGCCTCATGTGCACGCTCCCGTCCAAAACGTTACTAACACACAGCACCGAGACCTATTTTGGGAGAAAGTTGCCCCAACATTTTCTTCAGCATTCAGCAGCAAAGATAAACGCCCTGATCAGTATTCTGGCATGCAGAGAATGCGCAGGTTAAGTTTTTGTACGGGGCAACATGCGACGACAGAGGAGCCTTGTAAATCAGCCAGTAAAAAAATACTAGACCACAATTTTATTTGCATCTTTTCTTATCTGTTCTTCTTCTTTTAACTACCCTGCTGCGGTTGGCAAATGAAGTGGAAAACGCCATAGCTCTCACCGTGCTTTGCTGCATTTCTACATTGGGAATTTCTAGCAATTAATTTTTCCTATCAGGGCACTGAATGTCTTTTCTGCTTGCCTGGCCCCTGAATGGAGTTCCTTGTCAACGGTGATGGCCAGGTGAGGGTTTGGATGGCAAAGCATGAATGAGCCTTTTTTTAATGTAGCGAAGTATACAGAACAAAAATAGTAAATACATCCGTAATATTGCAATAAAGAAATGGCATACATTACAGGAGGAGTCCGATAGCACCTTTTCTGACACACACACACACACACACACACACACACACACAATTATTATTAGAAGGCTTCCTGCCTTCTACTGAAAATTGTTAGGTGGAAAAGATACTACCCAATTCTTTTTTTACCACCATAGACTAACCCTCCTACAACACATACATGACAGCAATTAAAATATGCTGAACATAAGGGAGGAAAACGATTAAGGAGAAAATAAAACATCAAACATCAAATCCACGTGATGCCAATATAAAATTACTTCAGTCCTGAAAACTCTTAAATCTTGACCCTATAGAAACATATGGCTCCATCTTCCCATTTTCAGACTATAAACCCATTTCAACCCTTGACCAAGAACACTTCCTTTGAATCCATTCCATAGTATCAGGAGAATAATTTTTTTTCCCTTTCCATAAGCTAATTCTCTTTGCTGACCCTTGCATGTCTGCCCCAAGGGCTCTGTTCAGGCAGTTAGTTGTACTTCATTCATTACACTGTAAACTGCAAAGACTGAGGATGAACCCTGGATTCTGACCTCTCCTTGGCATCATGCTTGGGGCGTTCTTCCCAGAATAATCTCCAGCCCCGAATCATCGTACCCAAGAGGAATTAGGAAGCTTCAAAAACTGGAGGAACGAGAAAGAATCATGGAAGGGAGGTCCATCCTGAGAAATCATGCTCTCACCTGTCAGTTTCACATAGACAGAGGCTGAAGCAGTGTGGCCGGTGAAGGAATTTCTAGCCTGGCATGTGTAATTCCCTTCATCGTCCCAGGCCAACAAGTCAACACGGAGAGTGTCCTCCATCTCATTCTTAGCTGTGTTATTGAAGAACCACCTAAACTCGGCTGGAGGCATGGAGTCCGCAGTACAGAGCAGAACCAAGGCAGAACCCAGTGGTTGGACTATGGCTTCTGACTGGTTCAGCTTAGCAGCCATGGGCCCGTCTAGAAAGGAAAGGAGGTAGAATCAGGGCAAAGGGGTGGAAGAAAAGGAGGCCCAGCTGGTAAGCAGGGGGAATGTACCCCACCCCACAGACCAGCAAGACATCAGGGCACCCTGGGGGCCAGGAACAGGGCTTATCATGGACCAGGGTTCACTGGGGTGCAGTCCCAAAAATGATTTTCAGTGGTGGGGCTCAATTTTCAGAACATGAGAAGGTTGCCTTAAGTCTCTGCAGAGCATCCTCCCCTCCTTGCAATGTCTCCTTCAGCTACCTTTCTTCCAAGAGGGTTTGGAGTAAGAGGCTCATGGCCTCTTGGCAACTGAGAGTCCCCATATTTTTTCATTTGGGAGATGGGAAAGAGAACCCTTGTTGCCACATCTCCACAGTGAAGCAGGAGGAAAGGCCCAGTCAAAGGGGGGTTACTTACATGCCATTGCAATTTTTGTGGGGTTGCTTGTGGCGTTGCTGACAGGGTTGCGGGCTGTACAAGTGTAGGTCCCTGCATAATCTTGGGCGAATTTAGGCAGAATGAGGGTTCGATTCTGATCGGAAAACTCTGCCTTAACTGGGACAGGAGCACCATCCTTGGACCAGGTGACGGTGACTTTGGAACTATTGGAGGTTCTACAGTGAAGTGTGACATTTTCCTCCTTGGACACAAGAGATGCCGAAGACCACAGGACAGGGTCTGAGAGTGTTTCTGCACATAAAACACAACAAGGGTCATCCTTCTGGGTACTCACGGCCTCCGACCCTTCGCCATCCAGCAGGGTCATCATCTAGGAATGCCAGGGTTAGGAGAGCCTCTGTTCTGGAGAGCCTCTGCTCTGTTTGGAGGAAACTTATGAAGATTCAGGTGCCTAAAAGGTGGGTCCATCACCTTACCCCCTCTCCCCTTCAAGCCAATTCAGCCGGCAGACGGCGATAGTTATCACCAACAACTCTCCGCTAAGAAGTCTCTCCAAGAATCCTAGATTTAGGTCCACTTCTAAGGAACCAGCAAGCTGTGCTTCAATAAGACTTGGATATGTGGTTGAGAATGACTGGCTCATGATGTGTGCTTTGAAACAAACAATTCAGTGGAATCATTAGCATGAGCGTTCAGGTGGTTATGAGAAGATGGTATTTTAATTGTTTTTTTTTCTTTCTCTTCAATGTATTGGGCTGGGCATTCTCTAAGATGGTGTTTCTCA